TCTATATAGAAAGAGGATTGATTTCAGAGTAAGACATCAGGCTACAGTGAACCAAAGTGATGTTTTTTTCCACTGATGCACAAATTTGCTCGCTACTGTTTTTAAGGTCTCAGAAAGGCACGGCAAGTTGTGTGCTAACATCACTCATAAAAACAGTGGCATGTGTTGTAAACAAAATGGACATGTTTGACCGTCTCACTGCACACAACGTGGCTACAAAGCTGTCATGTTGAGGATGCAGGACAATAGTCACCCAGATAGAAAACTCCTGCAGCTGGCAGACAGAAGGCCACAGAAGCAGCAGCGCAGAGGAGTTAAAGGTTGTCCTGTGGGCATTATTTGTTCTCATATGCTCAGCTTGGCCAGATGAGCTCTTGTTTTGCCCCAGGCTCCTGGGCAGTGGGGATGTTCTTACTTAAAACAAAAAGGTTTTGCTCTCACATGGATGGAGATATCAACCCTTTTGTGGTGGCAGTTTATCGATGAATGATAAACGATGAAAAGAAGGCAAAACCCATACTGTTCCTTTGTTGGAACAGTAGTTTGCTGATAGGTATCTTTAATTTGTTCATCATTTAGTCATAAAAAGCATTCAGAGATGCAGGGTCATGAAGATATAGACATGTTTGTGAGTTGATGTTGATTAAAAAAGACCAGTTTCTGTTAAAGAAGGTCTGCTCTTGAGTGAAAACTCAAATAGAGATCTTGGAGCAGAATGACTTGAACATTTCACCAGTGAAGAGCCTTTTTGAGGGTGAGCCTAGATGACTGTGAGATGACATTTGCGGTGTAGTTTTAGCATGTAAGCTACGGGGACTATTTCAGTATAGGAACACATTTCATGTCTTAGCTGATTGCAAAATCTTTGTATAATTTTTAAAATATTGCCAGTGTGAGCCTGGACTATATTCTGATTGTGACTGAGATTTACCTGTAGCAGAATGCCACCACTCTACAAGCTGTGGGGGACAGAGTAATTTAAAGGAACAACTAGTTAATGGACACTTTGGCTATGGTTTTGGATTCTGAAACTGTCCCACAATGCTGTCATTCTTTATTGATTTAATGGGATTTAAATAGTCCAGCTTGAGCAACAGTATAAATTTGATTTGGATTTGTATTTGAAATCTGTGAATGCCTCAAACAAAAAATAAATATGTCAAATAAAAATAGACATACCATACATACTGTACAAGCATACAAGCTTGTTAATTAAAAAGTGCATTCTGCAAGAGTAAAGTCTTATGAGGCAAGTTGATCCACTCCATTTGATCAGTAATTATTCAGTAATTGATCAATACCTTTTATCCAGCCACTTCTCGAAGGAACGCAAAGTGTTAGCTTCATTGATGTGGCTGGTCAGTTGGTTCCCAACAGTCTTTTTGTAAAGAAATGCCTCCCAATTCCAGTCCTGAATGGAGGCAACAGCAGGTGCTCGCCCTAGACACTACAGCAATTGAGTCACTTTAACTTCACTCCACATGAACTCAAGCTCATGCCTTGGATATCCTTCATGCGATTTCAAGACATTGTAGTGTATTTTGCAGTCTAATAACAAGTATATGCCATTAGGTACTCCTCTGCTAAGTGTTTTCACAGGGCAGTAGAGAAGCAGGGCCTGGCAACATGCATTATAGGAAGACAAAACACTACATTGCACGTATTAAGTCTGAAGGCAGGGGGTGCATGATGTAAGTGATACAATGGATATACAGAATTACAACTTTCCTGTTGTAATTACAGTATGTGGTGGACCAAAAGTGACAGCATATATTTTGATACCCTTCTGGTGATTCATGTCTGTGCAGTGGGTGCATGTGTGACTTACAGTTATCTCCCCTCACCACACACATGCTCCTACTACCACCCTCCAGTTATGTCACAAAAATGATCCCAGGTTTTCATAAAAAACATATCTAACAAAACTTGGTTTTAAAATTTGTCAAATAACCACTCCATTTTCAATGATGAAGTTTAAATCTATACACATTCATTAGTTTATATAGAAGAAATACAGTACTAGTTCTAAGTTTAATACAGAAAATGTGTATTCTTTAAGCCATTCATTTAGCTCTTTATGGACAATTTGTTTTGAGGAATGTGCAGTTTTAGAGATAAGCACTGACAGCAGGGTTATCAGTGCTGTATCACATTCTGTATTTGTCAGGTGTGCATATTTGCAGCTTTTCTTTATTCAAACAGTTGTAGCAGAAATAACGTTAACATTCACATTATCAAGACTTATGGCATTTGCAGCTTACAGCTACGATCTAGATGCAGAGTATGGTCATTATTGCCCAGAATTAAATTCAAGATGATAACACATGAAAATAATACATATCAAAGAATTCAAATGCTGATACAATACAATACAGCCAGCAGTCCAATCCACTTCTGCTTCCTAATGGTTAGAAACAAACAAAAGATAAAAACAAAGAATAACTAAACATGAAAAATATAAATGAAAAGCAAAGATAAATAAGGACACTCTCTGAAGGATTTCCTTCTCTTTAATGGGAATACTGAGCAAACCCAAATGTTGCACACAGCAGAGGAATCATAATTCTAATTGTCACCATTGTATCCCATTATTTAGCTGTTTATATAGTATTCTGTCCTTAAAAAGGAGCCCATTGATTTCTAGTAGTCTTGAAGATGCCTCTATTGATAGGAAATGTGCTCCAGGGCTGCTCTAATCTTTCCAGACCATCCAATTAGCATTTGGCCGATTAAAACCTGCCCCCATGCTTTGAATCTGCAGTCACCTGGGCCTGTCGGACAGCTGTGGATGATGAATTGTTCATTTGTTCTCACAGTGCAGGGGCCCCAGGCCATTACACAAGCAACATATGCACTGTAATTTTAAGCAGGGCTGGGCAGCCCATCTCTGGTTCAGATCAGAGCCAGCTCCTCATTTGATTTGCCAGGTCAGTCTAGGTCAGTGCTGGGGACCAAACCAAAGGATGGATCCAGCCAGTAGACGAGTTGCGTCACCAGTGCCTACAACCCAACCCCCAACCCCATCCCCTCTGTTTACTAGACAGCATTGTAGCAGATTTTATTCATGTTTAAAAATAGAGTTAAAAAAGACCTACAGTAAAATGCAAAGTGAAAGAAAACAAGCAACAACAATCACTTGCACATGGTGTCCTCTGGCCTTGCATTTTTGATTCTGTGTTTCTCCTGCTGACATGTAAAGTTATACTGGACACAATAAAGTTTTGACTGCAAATGCAACATTCCCACACCACTCGCAATACACAGGTGACACTGTATATATCCATTAAGATATAGCGGAAATAAGCCTTGGTAAATCTAGATGGGATCATAACAGATCTCTGAATTTTTTTACATAGTTTTCCTGTCGCAAACCAGGTAGGATGGCTCAGTAACCCACCCCTGATCTTTCCAGTCACATATTAAGATTAACATAATATTTTTTCTAGATGATGATCTCATAAACATTTTGTTTTCTTTCATACGTTGTGTAGGATGCCTTGCCTGTTTTGTGCCTGAAGGTGAGCTGTGTTAGTACAGTGAAGGACTTCGTAGATTGTTTCATGTTCCTATGGGGCGGCTGTGCAGTGAAGGAAGCACACCTGGGCCCGTCTGGGCCTCCTGCACATGGGGAGAGACAGCAGCCTCTCCAGCCTCTCCAGCAGCTCCAGGCCCGGCTCTCACAGCAGCGTCTGACTGGGGGTGTCAGTACAGACAATGACATGGATTTGGGGATGAGAAAGAAAACTTTAGTTCAGCTTCTGTAACTATTACAGTGTTATTAACAAAAATAATTTTGTAGACTCCTTTTTTTACTATTCCTTACTTTTCACTGTTTAAACTGTGCTATCAATCACCCAATAATTAGCACAGTGTTAATATATGACTTACAAAATCTGAGCAATATACAAATTGAATAATGTTTAAAATGATCCCATTCTTCATTTGTTGGTTATTCCATCAGACTTTATTCATAATAATGAACTAGACAACGTTTTGGCAGATTTGTACCTCTGATAAACATAAATTAATCTGGTTTCACAAATTATAAATGAGTAACAGAAAAATCGTTCTTGTTCTGGAATTTCCAGACATGAAGGTCAGACACAGTGACCAGACAGGCAAATAGCACAGGAAGTTTTCAAATGGGTGCTTATCCAGACAGTCCTGACCTCTGACCTCTGTCAATGTCATAGGTCTGGTTCAAGTTTCTCTGCTGCTTGCTGGTTACCTTGGTTACTATTTAAGCCATCTTGTAGGAGCTAAGCTGTTAAAATAAGTCCACAAAGCTGAATATTAAATGCCAAAGTAAGAGTTAAACCCAAATGAACAACTTTAAAAAGACCAATAATAAATAGTAGTGATTAAAGTAACACTATATTTACCGTACTTTCATTTCAAATATGTGTCACAATATTGAAAAATAATAGAGTGAATTAGCCCCTTTGCTCTCTTGAAATGTGGCTAATTGATTAGATTTAAAAGAGCAATTTGGAAATAATAAAATTATGTCAAACAGTTTTCAAAAATAAGTGATGTATATGGTTCAGGGTGGAGTGTGGGGGGTCACTAGAACTGATTAATAACCTTATTAATAATATATGATTATCCTTATAAGCAAAAACATTTTAAAATAAGGACAATATGTAAAAAATATGTCACAATAAACATGTTGCTTGAAAAGGTTTACGTGTGAATGCTGTCAATTAAAAGAAGAAAATAACGATAACTTGCTGTGCAATCCTTCAGCCGACCTGCTGGAGTGTAACTAAACAACAATAACAGTTCACAGCTGTCTAATTGGTTGATAGAAACAAAAATGCAATCTTGGTTTGAATCCAAGGGAAATTTGATGACTTCAAGTCAGTTAAAAAATTCTTTCTGCATCACTAGTGATGATGAACACAAAAGTTTGCAAGCATAGGCGATATTTTCAGGATGGCGTGAGCAATAAGAAGCAGAACTCCCAGGTTATTCACTCTTATGCTAAAAAGCTGTTGCATCTTGGCTCATTCTGTTGTCTGGACTCCTTTGAGTCGTTACAAGGAAGATTAATTCTTTGCGTGTTTGTAAATACAATTTGTTCACCCCAGCCTGGTGGCCCCAGTCGACCTCCTAAGGTTTCGGACTAGTATGCCAACATCTGCCAGAGACCAGAAAGCGCAGCGCAGGAGAGAAGAAGGGAGAATGGGATCCTTTTCAGCTCAGACCTTTATCTCAGCCCTGGCAGGTAGGCAGCACTCTCTTCCTACAGTCTGTCTGCATGTGTTCATGAAGCAGCTGATTTCTGCCTTCAACTGCCCAGCAGAATCCTCCTTTCACTGAAATATCTGGCCTAATGATTTCATCATTTGTTTTTGCATTTTTACAGCATCACCCATTCAAGCTGCTGGCTCTTCGGAGACATTATTGAAAATATATTTCCTATTACGCATAGTATCAAAGGCTTTTCCAGTCTTATGTAATAATGATTTTTTACATGCCTGTACAAAAACCTCAAGGCATTCATAAATATTGCCTTTATGTTTTGTGCTATTCGTGCTGAAAAATAAGACAAAAAATAATAATTGTTCATTTGCATTTTAAAAGGAAAGTATATTATCTCGGTATTGGGTATCATCAGGTCACACAAAGTCAAGTCTAGAGTTTTGGAATAGGCTCCAAACAATTGGGGTCTCTTCTGAAAGTTGTGATAGTCGAGCAGTAGGCAACTAATGACCCATCATGGTGGCTCTTAGAGGCATTAAACTGTTGAATGAATCATACTGTGAACATTAAGGATCCTGAAGCCCTCTTAAACGAGCAAGACCAGGACTCAAACAGTGTGTAAAAATGAGTCCAATCTAAATTTATTTGACCTTTTGTTGGCTTTACGTTTTATTTCCAGATTCAATCCCTTTTTCATATCTTATGTGGTATACTCCCTCAAAATGGTTTCCAGATCCAGTGCTAGTGAAATGCTGGCCCCACTTCACTGAGCTACTGCAGTTTCAGCCAGGTTTTCAGAGTAAAGTATTTATGATTCTGCATAAAGGCAAGTTCCCTTTTCTTTCTTTTTCTCCAGGCATCTGAGCAAGCTGAGGTGTGCTGCTTTCATGCATTGTGTGTGTGTAATATTTTTCACTTGTCACGAGGAGTGGGAATTCTGGCTTTTGTTCTCAGGAGTGACATTCTTACAGTGTACTTGGGAGAGGATCATACCTAATACAACCGGAAATGTTTTTAGCTTGCCAGTCCTTTGTACATTTGCATGTTAGAAAACGTCTATATATCTTTAGATATTTGCCAAAACAGTAATAAAACTATTAAGTAATACACAAAAGATTGAGTAATATTAATGTTTTAATATCTAACTGAATCTTATTTTTATATAATTTTCAAAACAAGTATAAGTGTTCCTTACCCTCCCAAGAAAATGTTATTTTGCCATACTTATGAAAGATCCTTTGAGGAAAAAGACCACATATAAACAGAAAAACTCTACATTTAAAGTAAAATTATATAAATAGCACACAACACTGCAAACCCAGAACTTGTCAGGGCAAGTTGCACTTCAAAACACCAGCAGCATATGTGTTAATGCCCTTTAGTACATTTTAAGACAGGGGCTAAATCATCCCTTTTGAACCACGAAAACAGGAATTGAAATAATTTCATTGGAAAATGAAAAAAGTAATGAATATAGAAATATTTGATCATCTTGGCCACAACACTGCTACTGGAGCACAGCCATCTGCATTTGCACTGTGCTGCTAGCTGAAGAGCTGGAAACAATAAATAAATAATAAAATCTTCTATGTCTGATCTTGCAGGAGCAGTTGTCAAGAGGCTGAGGTGGAGGCCAATCCAAGAAGAGAACAGGTTGGATTAAAGTCTTTGAGATATGGATCTCTGGCTCTCTACCTCTGAGTACCAGGCTTAAGTATCATATCCGTGGACAGACAGATCAATACCCTCTTTTTTTCCCTACATCTTCAAGGAGATTTCAGCAGTGCTTTCATGGTGTCCTCCTCTGTGCCCTAATGACACGATGGGAGCAAGATAATTTAGACGCGAGTTTCGATCACAATGCTCTTGATGGTCTCCTAAGTACTGCTGTGCACGTATTTTGTAATTCAGAATAGAAAATATTTCAATCTTCTGAGCAATTACCAAACCATAACTTACAGGTACCAGCAACGCAGTCTCCTGTTTGCCAATTAACTGTGATGATTCTGGAAGCGCAGCATAGAATTATAATTTGTCTATTAACGGGATCCACAACAAACACTTTTAAAAAAAGTGTACAGATATGGCAATACAGTATTATGATGACACTGTACAGTGTGTGGGTTCCTAACAAATGAGGACAGATACAGAACATCCTTATTACTCTTGGCAACTCCTATTTAAATGCACATGCAGCTTTATAGGCACAGGTGCTTTTATAATGGAAATACATATAAATGCACCTATGAAAAATGCATTACAGTAGAAAATGGACAATCCTGACATGACACACAGCCCTAATGAAACTGAAGCCATGTGACATAGAAGAACCACATGCAGTGTAATGTTGAATCTCTCCATAGATAAATCTTAAGGTATTTTTCCAATTTATTATTCCTTTGTCTTTTTTAATTTGGGGACCTATACACAAATAATGAGTCTGCAACTGACATTTTCACTTCTAAATTGTTAAGTTGAAAAAAAATGATTCTTAAAAAGTATTATTCCCCCCATGCCCCAACATAAAAAAGTGTTTAATTACAAGTCATTGCAGATGCACAGAAACAAAACTTTTATCTATGTCTTTTAGATTGAAAATTTAGATACTGATATCATTAAAAGGAAAGAGTCTTCATCAAGAAAGTCTATTGTAAAGTAAGGGAATTCCTGAAACAAATTCTTACAATAATATTTTCACAATAAATAATAATGTTTTACAAAAAGCCAGTTGTATCTTAGTTTTCAGGCACAGGAAGCGTTCATACAACAAAATGTGTAATCGTGGCTTTGCGACACCAAGAAGAAGTGGTACTGTACTTAGAATGACCTTTCATAATGCCAAAGGTCTTTTTGACCACATTGAGGCGAAACATGAATCAAAACAATCGATTGCCCCAAGATCAGTGGAAATACATCACTTAGAACAGCAGCATTCATTTCAGTCATTTCTGTTCCTGTGTTCCTGTTAAATATTAAACCTTTTTTCAAATATTCCTATGTACATGCAGTACTGAATGTCGACTTTAACAGAATGTTTACTATGAAATACAGAACCTGTTAAAAGTTTTACCTTTAAGTAAGTGCTATAACGGGTTGGATTAAAAGAAAATGTGCAGAACATACAGTAGGACTAAAAGGAAAGGGACTTTGCAGAACTATGCAGATAAGCATTACTGTATATCTAACAAAACAAGGGCATGGGAAGATAGTTCCTGCAATTTTACATTTCCAGCTCACTATGTTTCTAGATATTGGACTATGTATGGAGTACTATTAAATGATAGAGAACAAAGGATCCTCTCCAAACTGCACTATGTGTTGAACATATTTCACAGGACAACACTGAAGTTAATTTCTATGTCCTTACTTTATATTTAAATGATAAAAAGACAAGGAAAACTTTGTGAAACCTTTGCATGTTTATAGGATATGATTGCTTTCATTTTCACTTTAAATGGCTATATTGCACAAGAGTGTAAATGAAATAACCATTTACCGCAAAACCCATACTTTGTTCCAGTTGATTACACCAAGACAATAACCACATTCCCAAATCTTTCTCTTCTCAATTACTACAGGTCCACCCACACCCAGGGAAAGCTCCAGGCTTTCTGATCACTCCCTAAAAGGGACAACCTGGTAGCCAAAGAAGCAGACAAGGATGGTACTGTTGTTTTGTGGCAAAAGGATCTGTACATTGATGAAATGTCAAGAAACCACATACTGTACCAACACTAATGTCCTTTTTCACAGGACCCAACCTTTGACTACCAAGGGGAGGCTGTATTCACAATCTCGTTCATTTCAACAAGGAAGAATTATAACATTTGTTCAACGATCTGCTTGTTAGACACTCTGTCATCTCAATTCTCAAACCTGACCCCTCCACTCCCACCCATCAAACTCTGATCTCTCCTCACTTCTTCCTGCACCCACAACGACTGTACTACAGCACTACATAGGACATACCTCTGACAATTGAATGTAAGCCGAACTTGAACTGTTTTGCTCTGTTCGTGTACTTTGCTCTGTTTGTGTACTTTTGTACAGTTTTTAACAGATATGGGACATGGCTGTCGCACTGGTACCTTAATGTTATTCACACTGTTATTGTTATTGTATTTCCTGTCTACTGTCTTGTCTGCTGTTCTACATATATACTGCACCTCAGAGACTAATGAGAAACACTTTTCATTATACTATGCAGCTGTGTAAGTATAATGACAAATAAAGCTGAATTGAATTGTAACATTTAGTTCTGTAAGTCTGTCAGTGTAGGACATTCCTTTGAGCATGGAAATGTTACATCAGGTCCCTCTTCTCTGGACTGACTCAGAAGTAGTACTATTGTTTTTTGTATTTTGATGGACAAAAATGATCCTAACATTCTAACTAATGTTTAATGCATTGTGTAAAATCAACAGACCATCCCTTGTAGTCTTCTCTGTTAAATACTAAAAGGAATCAGTACTGTTTGCCTGACAGAGTAGGCACTACACAAGTCATGAAAAGCACTACAAAAATAAATATTATTATTAGAATCTCAGGCCTGGAACAAATGAAACAAAGCCTGACTTTGCCATGAACATGAGTACAGTAGATATTGAGGTTCTTTATAAAAGAAAGAACATGACAACTGCCAAGATTTCGAAGGTACACCATTACCTTTAAAAAAGCCCTTTCAAGGACTGCACTTTTTTGTAGACTCCTTTGATAAGCTCTCCAGAGTCATCTTAAGACCTTTTACCTTAAATTTGATGCATAATTTTTAAAATGAAAAAAAAGAAAAGAAAAGCTTATCTATTAAAGCACTGCCCCATCTGTTGTTCTGAATGAAGATCAGTCTGCACCCTGAACAAACAGGCCTTCCTATCTTTAAAAAGTGTATAATGTATTTCCACTAGTGCTTTGCTAGTGTTTTAGAAAAAGGAGCAAAGGCAGATTCTAAGGATTTCAACACAGTCATCTTTCATCTTAAAAAAAGAGAGTATTGCTTGCCAAGAGGTCACCATTGAAATTAGATTTCAAGCTGTAAGCCAGAGCAGTTCTTTCTGCTGCCACAGGAGAGGACACATGGACGGGAAAGATTATTCCGATAATATTTAGACTCAAGCACCCTGAGCCGACCTAATTGAAACCAACTGGTCTTGTTGGCCAAAACATAGAGAATCATTAACGGCCTTCCTTGGCTACTTATGTTTATTTAAAACAATCGCTAGCTTCTAATTAATCAACACCAATGGGGTGATGTCATGTAAGATGTATTTGTTTCTAACCAAATCAGAGCTCATAACAGCTGCTTTAAATAGACACAATTAGGAAAGGCTTTTGCTGCCATATTGTATCACAATGCTTTCATTAGTTTGTCATTTTGAATTTCCAGCAACGATCGCCAAGAGATTATTGCTGACACATTCCTGTAAACTGTAAAGATGCAATGGCCTCCTTTCCAGTGCTGCCAGTATGTCCTGGCAAGTTAGATATGAGCCTGTTGCCAGAAACTAAATATGGGTGTCCCAGAGTCTGGGCCAGGGCTGTACTGACACCGCACAGTGAAGGAAACTTTAGCGGGCTGGTGCAAAGAAAGAAAGAAAAATGAAAAAAATCTCCATAAAGGGCGAAAATATTCAAATGTTCAAACTTAACTTTATTTGAGTTATTGAACAATCAAAACACTTCAAAATGTTTTGTAGCTGTGCTTTGTAGCAGTGATTTCTGGTTATTGAATCAACAGTAAGTCTGTGTTGCACTGAGAGACAGGCCAGCTCTTTTAGGTAAGGTAGCCTGTTTTGCTTCATCAGAAAATCAGGCAGCAGGTGATCTGAACCTTTAAACTGGATTTTCTTTACAGTCAGTTCAGTACACAGCGTGTGAAAATAATGCTGAGTAATTCTAACGGCTTCTCATGTCAACACCCAATAAGTGAAAACCCCAGATTGCTCATAAGTGTCAGTTATCATGTGCAGTGCTTTCAGTTTTCAGTTAGAAAATAAATCACAATACTTTATTTTGAACTTTGCTAATTATTACAAAAACAGTGAAAAGTTTAACCTACACATGCCTTTTGTAGCCTTTAAAAAAAAAAAGATAACAGTATAATAACAGTAAGAATGCAGATTCTAAGGAAAGGATAGTAATGTAAAGAATAAAAAGGACCAAAAAGAATGACTTTATATCTAATTTATACTAAAAGTATTATCTAATGCTTTACCATTTGATGAGTATTATGATTTTATATGTTTACTTTCTAATATTGACATTATGTGTCATGGGACATTTATAGAATATATTACTTCATAATTTCTGTTAAAACGCAAATAAATTCAAATAAACCGTGGTAAAATGTGTAATATAACTATACGAGGATTAACTATAAGAACATCAAGACAGCTAGGCTTCAAGTGAGACTGAATCAAGCTTTGAAGAGTCTCCCAGAAATACAAACCTTATTCTGTAGAGAGCAGCCCGGCTAGACCTCATTGTAAATGGAATTTAGTGTTAGTTTTCTGCACTTTTAAAATGTAACGCCTTTTGCTCCTTTTATAAAATAAAAGAATTTAACCAAGCTGTAATTATACTTTTACAAAGGGACGTCTACCTTGTGTGATGTGGTATCTCAATATTAATACAAAGAGCAAAATATTAAAGTGATTGCTTTAGTGCATACCATGTGCCATATGTTATTAAATCAGTACAGCTGCTTACTCTCCTGCGGTAGGGCTCTGTTACTAACTCTGTACAGTAGGAGTTCTGGATTATATGACAAAATTTGGTTATTTTCTTGCTTGTGGATCACATGCAACGTTCTACCCAGTTTAACGAGAGAATAGAATGTCAGTTTCTGTTTGTCCATCTGACTGGTTAACATAAAGTAAAGCTTGGTTCAAATACAGACAGTCTCTAGTGGAAGAACCAGACCTAAATCCTTTCATAATACAGCCATCTTTCTCAGCCCCTCAGCCAGGGACCAGCGCAAGTTCCTGGAGCAATGCTAACTGGCCCCTGCCCTAACCTGCAGTAGCATTCTAGATGAAATTGTCCACTTTCTTAGAAGGCCTCAACAAAAAAGGTTGAGAAAACCTGTTGAATAGTGCAGTACTTGCCCATAAGTCAATCAGGCCATAGGCCTCCCTCTATTGATTGTACTAAAAGTGGAGCTGATATACCTGCACTGTGGAGGATGGGGGTTCTTAGTTTATTGCACTTGTTGCCGAGACCAAGATCAACTGCTATTTGAGTCCTAAGGAGGTTTGCACAGCCATGTAGGACTATGCACAATGGCCATGAACAATGACTGTCCTGTACCTAGTGCTCTATTGTTCAGAGCCACAGAGGTGCTGGGACTGACAGTATATTGTGTCAATTTACATGGTGGCTACATTTTTTTCATCCTTATTGTGTTCATTTTTTAATTATAATGGATGAGAAAAAAATAAAAATACTGAAACGCTTGGCAAAGCCACTTGATTTGTTTATGTATTTTAAATCAAGCAACTTCAAACTCACCCACAACATTTAAATGAGGAGACATGTGTTTGTAGGGTAAAGTTTCACAGAACAGCTCTGATTTGCACACTGCCATGGTTTCATGGCTTGTTGATTAGAGGTTAAAGAAGGAAAGTTGTTTTACTCAACTTAAAACCACACATTTCTCTAATAGTGGAACTGTTCCATAAGAAACTGTTTCAGTGAGAGATGGAACAAGACTTGAATGTCATATACTCCAAAACACTTATGGGCTTTTCTGCTCAAGCAAATATTAGGGAATAATATTTACTTTATAATTATGTGTGCATAAGGGATACAAATAATTTATCATCTACTGTACCAAAACTGATGTACAGTAGTGCTATTGTAGGTAGAATATAAGAATTGAATAAGAAGCAGTTTTCTAGGATGCAGCACTTTTGTAATTAGATCTTTTTAAAAAAAGAGGACTTTAACCTCTGACTTAAGGATATTCTTGCTTTGCTCAGTTCAGAACCGGAGCCTCCATTAGGACTAATGTACTAAATTGGAGATCAGAGATCGAGCTAGTGTATATTATCTCCCTGGTATTCTGTGTATTTGTTCATGCTGAAGTCAAGAATCCTGTATTTCTCAGGGGTGCGCACATGACAATTTCTCACATTAAGCTCAGTATATTTTAAAAAAATGAAATGGGGGACCATCTGGTGATGTATGCTTCTGGCTTACTTGTGAACCTCTCAAATTGTTAACTATCTGCTTACCAAGGATCCTGTCTTCTCCTGGGGCCTGCAAGCGCAGAAAATTGAAGCCTTTGGAAGGATTTGTAGACCTTACACTGTAGTCCCACATGACTGGGATTCACACCAACCAGTGTGCCGTGGTTTTTCAGCAATGATTTTGTGGCAAAAACCACTTTGTTACTTCAGCAGTAAATTATAAGTGTTCTCACTAAACAGAAGGCAGGGGACCTACTATTGCCATGAACTAAAGAGTTTATGACAGACCTATTAATAAATTAAATTATACAATTTAAAAACATTTTGGGGTCTTCATTGAAGTTCAGGCAATAGAAATTACTGTCATTGGAGTATTTTTCTGATTCCTATCTGCTAGTAGTGGTATGATTTTTGATTGCACGTCTTGCTGCTCTGAACGCTTGCAACAGACATTCAGTTCACAGACAAGTATTAGAGAGCAGGGATCTGATGCTACAGATATAATAAAGTATCACTATTTAAACATTTGGGGAGTGGAACCATTCTATTATTCCAGGAAGAAAAAAAAAACTTTATAATGTGCTTCATGATAAAAAGGCTTGTTTCATGATGATTCTTAAAATCAATCCAGCAATATCCTGCTTCTAATAAGAACAATAGCAAAATTAATAGGTTTACAAAATAAATGTATTTTATTTTAGTGAAAGGGGTGTCAATTAATTGTTCTAGGGAACATTATTTTACCAACGGCAATCTAACTTTTAGGAAAGAACTGTAAGCTTAAGAGGCTGTAGCATTATTTTATTACGACAGGTTCAAAAGAAAAAGTGAACAATACAGCCAGCCAAAGCATGAGCTTTGGAAAGTGAAACAGTTGACTATGAGCCTTAGCCACAACAAAACCTGGTGTGTGATTTGCACTGAAGAGCAACTGACAAACCATTATGAGCTCTTAACTGTTTCTAACCTCTCCTTGAAAGCCACATTGTGCATGCTTGCATAACAGCATTTTGGGGGGATTTTTGCATAGGTTCT